CAGCAGGACTTGCAGATGCTCGGCGTTTTTCTGCACTGAACCGCGTTCTTGTCAGTCAGCGTGCTGCTTAGCAGATGCAGTTAATTTAATTTTGACAGGCGCAAGTGGAGTTGTGCGAGGGTCCATCCTCCTCCCCTGCTCCTGCTGCGCCGGTTTGCAGGGGAGAGGAGAAATCTTTCTGCAGCAAATGGCTGGAATGTAAAGGCTGGACTTGAAAGTTATGAAATCCCGGACTGACAAGAGCACACTTCATTAAAAATTCATCTAAAATAGCCATTATAGAATAGTTGTGGTAATTAGCTGAGAGAATACTTTTCTCTCCTGGTCTCTGATTCCTGACAGTAAGGAAAGAGGGCAAGAAACAACCCAGAATCCGTAATGAGCGGCTCCGGCACAGCCCGTGCAAGGTTCCCGAACCCAGCCTGGGAACGACATGCTGCACCGGTGTAAATCACGGCTCGCCACGCCAGAGAATTGCAGCCGCAGTAAAGTAGCTGGTTCTAACCACGGGAGCGGGGATCCGATCCTGCCAGGACCAGTGCCCCGCGGTGGCCGCTCTGACGCCGCCGCGCACGAGGGATGCTCGCGAGCAAAGAGCTCGTGGGGTTTGGTTTTTGGTTTTGTTTTTTTTTTTAGGAAATAAAGCGGTGAGAAGAGGATGCCCTGTTTTTTTGCCAGAGCGCTTTTCCTTTGGCTTTTCGGTGAGGGGCAGCCCCGCTGCTGGAGGTGCTGCCGGGAGCCGGCCGGCGCCAGCATCGCCCATCCTGGCACGGGGAGCGGTGGTGCTGAGCAGCCGGAGGGAGGCAGAGCCCCACGCCGGGGGCACGCAGCCTCTGGCCTTTTTTGGCGTTAAACTTCCAGTCCCGGTTTTCCTCACTGTAAAACACAGATGTTTAATTTTAGGTTGGCAGATGTTTCACTCCTGGCTGAGATCTGAGGCGAAGGCAAGATAGGGGTATTTATAAACCAGTAATATTTTTCCTATACTAATTCCAGATTACCTCCCTGTATAAATAGGTCACAAATCAAATCTCTGTGTTCCAGTGCGTTGTTATAAATGTACTATTTGTAAAATGTAAACTGTCCCGGGTGGGACTATATCACAGATCTGTCCCGCGGTGCGTGCGTGTGTCCTCTGCGGTACAGGTTTACGTACGCAGGCAGACGCTGGCGATGCCAGGGCTGCGGCGGGGATGCTATTTTTGGGGTCGTCTCACTGCCAGTGGAAAATAGGCTAATGGGATAAAAATGTTTGTAAAATATTGCTGTTTGAAAAGAATCTTCTTGCCATGTAGAGAACAGGGGAGAATTACCCACGTGTTTGCGTGTGGGGTGTCTGGTGGTGGAGCAGATGGAGATGGTTTGGTGGCCGTTGCGGTAGACCAGGGCTTGTGACTTGTGGTTCCACGTTGGGGCTCTGTAAATGTTAACTTTTGGGTGAGGGTCCGTCACCCTGGTCTTTCTGTATCTCAGATCCCCATTCCTAAAACAGAAATAGTTGTTTCTTACCCGCGGGAGTGTGTTGGCGTTTATGTCCAGTGAATGGTCAAGAGGAGAACCCAGACTGGTGGGCACTGGGGAGTCATGAATAATTTTGAAGCCCCGGTGTTTGGATTGTTGGGAACTAAGGCAATCATGACCAGTGGTGCCAGGTGTGTGGCCAGCAGTTCCCAGCGCTGCCAGACCCCAGGCACTCACCCAAGCAGCTTGTGGCCCATCACCGATGAGGGTCAACAGGAGCTGCGTGGGCTCAGCGCCTCTGGTCCCAGGCACCTTGGGTGGGATATGCAGCCATCCTGGTGTCACCGAAACCATCGTGGGCTCAGCAAGAGGGTGGTGTAATGAACCTCTAAGCCGGACGGTACGTTTTAGGGACAAGGAGGACACGTGCCCCTAGCATCATGCAAAGCCTGGAGCCGTGGAGCGCCGGTAATTCCCACAACTCCAGCTTTCCTCCGAGCATGGGCTGGTCAGTTGGTCTGAGGTTGCTTCTTCAGACAGAAAACCCAGGATATTTCCCATTCTGGACCACTTGTTGCCAGCTGCAGCGTCCATATAAGTTTGAGATGAAAGCGTATAGCTGAATAAATAAAATATAGCAGTGCTAGGCTGGCAGCAATCATCGCTTCCTCTGTAATGATTTCCTGCCCCTCTCTGCTAGCTGGTAGGCTCCTTTCTTGGTCGAGAACAAAATGGTATTAAACAATACTTCACATTGTTTGCCCTTTCATTCAAAGGGAAGGAGCCGCTGCCCTCCGAAGATACAAATTAATTAGAAGTAAATACTATCCTGTTCTTCAGAGCATAAAGGCCAAACAGACTGGCTTTCTTTGAAAACATGGGACCAAAGTGTCTCTTGTATCCCGCTTCTTTACATAACCGATTGCTATCTGCTGAATTGCGGTGGCACTGAAAGGCCTAAATCTTCAGTCGTTTGTGTTTAGTATTGAATTGTTGAATTTGTGCTAATGCTTTAATGGAAACAAAGTCCAAAAAATGATTCATGCCCATGTTTAATAAGAGATTTATAGACAGCGAGCCAGCAGGACAGATGTAACCAAAACAGAATAGTGGATTGAGTTACGCCTGGGGCTTTTTAGCCCAAATTTTAGTTTGTTTTATGAAGTATTTAATTTCACAGGAAGAAATGTAAACTTCTCGATGGCTCCATGTGTAAAGGGTTGTCAGGCTCTGGAACGGGCTGCCCAGGGAGGTGGCCGAGTCCCCATCCCTGGAGGTATTTAAAAGAAGGATAGATGAGGTGCTTAGGGACAGGGTTTAGTGGTGGGATGGCAGGGTTAGGGGAACGGTTGGGCTTGATGATCATAAAGGTCTTTTCCAACCTAAACTATTCTGTGATTCTATGAATGAAATGTCTTCAAAAGCAGAGAGTTTCTTCGAAGCAGGATTGTCACCGACCCCAGGATTGTCACCAATCCCCCAGGTGTCAGTGTGGCAGGTTTGTTTTTTTTTTTCCTGAAAAGCTGCTTTTCTTTCAGGAGACAGGTTTGACACCAAACCCTTTGAAATTGCTCCAGGAGGGTAGCGTGAATGTGGTGCTTGCGCTGATCTCCTCTTGCCTGCCTCATTATTGCTACCTTAGGATCTGTTTGGCCCAAAATTTGTTTTTTATTGAGGGCCGCCCGTGGTAGAGCATGCCTACTGGTTTGTAGAGCATGCCTACTGGTTTGTAGAGCATGCCTACTGGATTGTCCTTGTCTGCTGTAGCTGTTTGCCAGTTGGATGTTGTAGGTGTTTCATTTCTTCAGTGACAGCAGCCTTGATGAAGAAGCGGGCAGGAGGAGGGCATGGCTGGTGGCCATTCCAGGCGGAATTCTCTTCTGTTCCTATTGCAGCAATATTGGGTCACAGACGGCGAGGACCCTTCTCCTCCCTCCCCCCAGGCTCTGAACTCTGCCTCGTTTGCGGCATTGATTGCAACTCCTTTCCCTGGAGACCCACAGCCTTTATACGGCTCAAAAAAATAACTGGAGGCCTCCAAGAAACTTCCTGAGAATCCATTCCAGTCTGCCCAGCTTCCCTTCAGCAGCTTAACGTCTGCTGGCTTCGAGGTGGCGATGAGTATGGTGGGTGCTTTGGGCCCGAGTCATTAGGTAAAAGTAAAAACAGAAAATGAAAAATGCCGTTTTACACAAGCTGGGCAGAGCGTTGCATGTGTGAGGGGTTGCGATGGTTCTCCTGCTCCTGCCGGGCAGCTGAAGCGGTGGCTCCGGGGAGAGCCCGGTGCTGGGGAGCGCTCGCCCTAACGAGCTGCCTGCAATTAGCAGGAGCCCCGGGCACGGGCATGGCCTCATCCTCACCCATCCTGTCGCCTGACGGACGGCTCCGGGACGTGCGGATAGCAAAACAGCTCTTGCCAAATTCTGGTTTACCCCTAATAGCACTGTGCACCGGTCCTTCGTTGCCACTACTGAAGAGAAAGAGAAGAGAGATGAGAACGTCCTGGTCTGCTTTCTGGGATTTCTCAGCAGAACAGTAGGGCATGTGTGGCTGAGATATGATTTTACCTTTTAGTTCAGCCTGTGTGGGACCTGCAGAGGGCTCTGGGTGGGAGCTGGTGGTGGTGTCCTCCGTACCTGTCCGTCCTCTCCCCTCAAGCTTCACATTTATTTTGCAGTGGCCTTTGCACTACTGTAGCCTGCCTTGGTGAACACAGAATCCCAGAATCCTTTGGGTTGGAAAAGCCCTTTAAGCTCACCAAGCCCAACCGTTCCCCTACCCCTGCCATCCCACCCCCAAACCCTGTCCCTAAGCACCGCCTCTGCCTGGCTTTTAAATACCCCCAGGGATGGGGACTCGACCCCTTCCCTGGGCAGCCCCTTCCAGTGCTTGACAGCTCTTTTGATGAAGAAAATTTTCCTAATGTCCAATCTAAAGCACGCCTTGCCAGAGCCCAAAAGCCTGTAAGGGCAGCAGAGTGGGCCCTCCCTGGGTGTTGGTTGCCCCCTGTCTAGTGCCCATCTGCTTTTGGTTTGTTTAAGCTGGAAAAAATACTAGTATTTAGTTGGATATGCTCTGCTTATCACTGTTTGAAAGCATCAGAGGTAGAGCAGGACTTTTAGGTGCTTCCTCTGTGTGGAACAGATGACTCCCATGTCCAAGGAGAGGGTGCCTGGATGCTTGGGAGCTCTATTAAATGGGGGGGAGGTTCTGTGTGTCAGTGGGACTGTAGATCATAGAATAGTTTAGGTTGGAAAAGCCCTTTAAGATCATCAAGTCCAACCGTTAACCTAACCCTGCCATCCCACCACTAAACCCTGTCCCTAAGCACCTCATCTACCCTTCTTTTAAATCCCTCCAGGGATGGGGACTCGACCCCTTCCCTGGGCAGCCCCTTCCAGAGCACCACAAAGCCCTGCCGCTTGGCATAGGTAGACCGTGATGGCAGGAGAAGTCTGTTTTAAATCATCGTGTGAACTGTTCTGCTGCTGTCGGTCCTGAATCGCTGCGGGAAATGCTGCTGTGCCACAGCTCCGCGAGCGAGGGGCATCCTCCTGCTATTCCGACTGTTTGGGGAAGGAGGGAGCAGTGAGGGTGGGGATGCTTCCAGCCCCGTGCCGGCGATAGGATGCCACGGCACAGCACGGCGTCGCGGGGCATGTCCTAGTTAGAACACTGCTCCCATTGTATGGGAGCCATCACCCTTTGGTTACTGCAGCAACAAGTCTGCAAAACTTGTTATTTTATCTAGAGAGTGGAAAAAACGTCCCCCGGAACACCGAAATAATTGCAGGAAAAGACACCTCTTGAGTAGGAGACATTTTGAGTTCAGAAACACCAATTTCTGGGGTTTTTTTCTTCTTTCTGTATTCACAGATATTGGAGCAAGGCGTGGGGTTTGATTTTCTGTGTGGCACTTGCCACGTGATCAAACCTTTTTGGGAAAAACGATGGATCATTGTAGAGCCGGGCTGCCATTCAGAGCTGTCATTCAGCTCCCACCACGTCCCAGTGCGGCTGGAGTTGATGCACACCCGTGTCAGCCCCCTTTTGCCATCAAAAACTGTCATTTTGAGCAAGCCTGTGGACTTGCACTGTTAATGTGCTTTAGAAAGCGAACCCTCTGTATGCCCACAAGACCCAGACTTGGGTGGTGCTTGTAGGGCAGCTCGGTAGTTTCAGCTTTTCGATGGTGGTGGTTGCTAACGGGCAGCGGTGGGCACCGGGGCTGGCACATGGGGGCAAGTCACAGCCGCAGCCTGGCAAAACCCAGTGATTTGGTTTTGGAACCACAGCTTAATAACACTTTTTGGGTTGTCAGTTGGGGTCTCTCTTGTTATTGAGAGGAAACGTTGGCCTGCGAAAGGCAAGGAGAAGGTGCTGCAGGGGGGAGTTGGAGCTTGCAGGAGGTGGGTGCCATCCTCCGGGGGGGCGACAGCGACCTTTCTCGGTGCGATGGGTGTCTACAGAGCCTGACTTTTAACTGAAGCAGGAGAAAAACGTCAAGAAAAGTAGTTATGGTACTGATGCAGGTATTTATTGAACTCAGACAATTTACTGCCTGTTTTAGAAACCCCCGGTGAAGTAACCCGCGGCTCTGCCGGGAGCGTTTGGGGAGGGCAGCTCCGTATGCTGCGCTTCCAGACGGTGCCAGCTGTGCAGAGTTGCCCGTTTTCATCAATGATTAACTTTGGAAAAGTTAAAGCATAATGAGGTTCCAAGAATCCCTCTCGCAGAAGAGGAACATGCATACGAGACTGCTGCGGCCGGTGGGGGGAGAGACCGGGGCATCTTCCCACGCTGTCGGGCGGCATCTGCCCTGCGGTCGATAGCCCTGGCGGTCGGTTGTATTTTTGGAGAGAGGAATGTTTTCAAGAGCTGCCTGAAAAAAGTCCAGATTTGACCTTCTGTTCGTGTCGTGCCTGCATAACAAATTGTTTCAACGGTTTTCCCTTTTAATTTTTAAGTTGCTCAAGAGAAGCCAGAGCAGATCCCACTGGAGAACCGCTCCTGTGTCCTCATACGACGGGACCTAGTTGCTCTCCCAGCCAGTCTTATCAGTCAAATCGGATACCGTTGTCACCCAAAACTCTACTCAGAGGGAGATCCTGGAGAAAAACTTGAGCTCGTTGCAGGTAATAAGGGGGTAACTTTCCTTTGCTTGAGAAAGCCTGGGGGTCGCTGATGTTTTCCTTCTCAAAATGTGTTCTTCAGCTTGCTTGCGCCGTTGCTGGAGTCGTGCATCTTGTGTGCCCTTGCTGTGTCTTTCTGGATTATTCATCACCAATCATCTTCTAAAAAGTTCTAAGTTTCCTTTAATTTGCTGATAGAAAAATGTGTCATTAACAGGATTTATTAAATTGAATTAATTTAGCATTTTAATTGAATTCTCCAGCTTGTGTTCTTCCTGATTGGTGTGGGCTGCATGGCAATTGTGTTTTGATTTAGAGGCACAGATCTAAAAAAAAAAAAAAAAAACAAACCGAAAAACCCATTGCATTAGGAGATTTACACAGCAACGGAGATAAAATTTGTGTCAGTGAACAAGCTTTGAAAAACCTGTAAAAGTTTTTTTTAAGGATTGGGGATGTTATTGAACGGTCAAACGCTGCAGTAGGAAGGAGCAGAAGGAGTTGGGTTTGGTCCTTCCTTTTATTTTCGTTTGGGGGGGGGAATTTACAATACTGGGGGAATTCACTACTTCTCTATAAAGGATTTATGGCCAACTCGAGGTGGAAGAAGTTGCTGTTTCACTTTTAACGGTACTGGTGGTGTAGAGCTGGATAAAGAGGAATCCAGTAGCCGTGAATCGGGACCGTGCCAGCCTGCAGCCCGGGTACCCGCGTGCCGCCCAGTGTTTGACTGGGGTGTCCCGATCAAATCCCAGTTTAAATAATGGTATTCTGCTTAAATAAGCTTGTCGTGGGGGTTTTTTTCCCTTGGGCATAGCTGTGTTTGAATGGAGCCATCTTTGCACAACAGCCCTGCCCAGGCTGGGGGTGGGGGTGTCTGTTTAATACCCGTAAAGGTATAAAAAGGACGTGTGGCAGCAGAATCGATCCGAATCGGTTGCCTTTTCTTTCTGGTCATTTATCTCTTGGTGAGTAGCATGATTTTATTTTCAGTCTGTAGAAGGAATCTGGAGTTCAGGGGATACCCAGAAAGATTTCCATCAGATGGAGGATGGGTCTTTGATGGAAGGCGGGAGTGAAACGCACACGCCGCAGCGCAGCGTACAACCACAAGTATTTATTTTGTATCTGGAATATTCATTTTGTACCCATTTACATTTTATGTGAGACTTCTTAAAACCATCAAGTGGTGCAGGTTATTTTCACAGTGAGAGCTGCAAATTGGCTCGAGGCAGCTCTGCTTGATTTACATTTTTCAATCTGGGAAAAAAAAAGTAGATTAATATCTCTAACCGATAGTGGCTGCCTCGGTTATTTTTTATTTAGTAAAGTGAAGTTACCCTCGGTGGCGTCTGGCGTTCCCTCTGATGCCTTATCTCTCAAAATCCTGCTGCCGAGGAAAAAGCTCCCCAGCTCATTGCTGTCTCAAACCTGGGGAGACCTGGGAGGGGAGCTCGACCCCAGAGCGCGCAGGAGGATCCTGCAGCCCACGTTTTCCTCAACTCCCTGTTGGGAGTATTCTCCTTTCGTCTCCCATTTTTCATGCCATAATTGATTCTGCAAACTTCAGCAGCTCTCTCTGAGAGGGTCTTCAACAAGCCGTGCCGTCATCGTCGCACACCGGATGGACAGATACGGTGCACGGAGCGTGGCGAGAAGCGGGATGGCTCTGAGATCCGGGGCGGTGCTTGGATTTTCTGGGGCAGGACCGGGGGGCTGGGGGGCCAGGTGGGGCCTGGGGGAGCCGCTGGGTGCCTGCAGCTCTGTCTCCATCCGGAAGATCAGGGATGATCGTCTGTAGGCTTTCCTGGAAATCCAGGAGGTCATTTTATTTCTCCAATAGATGTTTTTATATCATGAGAACAGAGCGTGTTCTGGATCCAGATACAACCCATTATTTAATCTTAATTAAAAGCAAATACCAAGACCCTCTTGTATAATGGAACGCTTGAAGAGCAGAGGAACCTCCACACGCAAGCCGTGGCTGGGGCGGGAGCGGTTTGGTCTGCGCCAGCCATGTGCAAAGGAGAAGCGTTTGGTGGGGAACCTGCTGTAAAGCACTGCCAAACCCCCGGGCGGGCGAAGCTGCTTTGGCAGGGGCTCCTTTTTCTTCTGGAGAGCATCCTGAAAAGCCGGGTATTTCACAGTCAGCAGCTCCTGTGCGTTAGGAGGAGAATTCCCTGTTCACCAGAAGTCTCCAGAGGTGATGGGGTTTTTGGAAGCAGTTAGATCTGCAGTGTAACCGGGTACCTTTCCTGTGCTGGATGGGGTTTTTTGCCTTTCATTCTAGTTCTGTGTTCTGTGATCTTTAACTTGAGAAAAGAAAAGGCCAAATGGATTGGGGTTTTCTTCCTTCAGAAAGAATAAATAATCTGATCCGTACATATAAAATCACAGAATAAAGCCTTGCACTGTGTGTCTTTGCAAAAAAAAAAAAAAGAGTCCTTTCATTTGATTTCCATAGACTTCCTTTCTGTACAGTTAAAATTAGGAATTATTATTAGCTGGGACTTGCCAAGACCCCAAGGGATGGCAATGAACAGTCCCCGCTCGGCTTTTCCAAAACTCCTGCCATGCTGGCTGGGCTTCCGTAGCGGCATGTGAAGAGCACGCTCCCTCCCGCCTCGCACCAGCGCCGGGCCGGCGCAGGAGCAGCGCTTTGCTCCTGGCTCGGAGGCGGTGCCGTCAGCCAGGCAAAGGTTTCATTCTGAATTCTCCTTCTCCCACCCTTCCAGGCTCAGGTGTTTACATCACTCGGGGGCAGCTGATGAATTGCCACTTATGTGCCGGCGTCAAACACAAGGTCCTTCTGAGACGTCTTCTGGCCACCTTCTTTGATCGGTACGTGCTCTTTGTGCTCTCCCAAGGGATTCAGTTTGTCTCCTGGTGTTTTAACCACATTAATAGATAATGTGTCGCGAGCGCTTCGTCCTCTGCTGCGCTGATTTCTGCGCTGTTTCTCAACGATGCTTGAACCTGAGCACCCGTTTTTCCAATTCCTTGCCTTAAAAATCAACGTAACGTGGTGATCCCTCCCTAAGAACCTAAAGGGAAGAGGGTGGTGTCCCCTTGCGATGCGCTGTCCCCTGGTGTCCCCGGTGTAAGGGTCCTTCTCTGCCTTTCTTGCAGGAACACGCTTGCCAACAGCTGCGGAACTGGAATCCGGTCCTCCACAAGCGATCCCAGCAGGAAGCCCCTGGACAGCAGGGTTCTTAATGCAGTCAAATGTAAGGAGAGAGATTTACTGCTGCTCGGTTGAAAAAACCGAGAGCAAAGCCAAAACCCAAGCGGGGAAGGCCATCTCTGTTGAGTAATATGGGAACTATACGTGATGAAATTAGGTTATAGGAACATTAATTTATTCTTTATTTTGCAGAATTTTGGAGGGGATAAATATTTTTTTCTTATTATTATTTGTTTGGCAGTATCTTAATATAAAACATTATTGCTACTTGAGTATTTTGCTATATTTTAAAGCACTAATTTCTCAGTTAATTATTTTATTGATAGGTGCTCTATGGAGGAAATCAAAATTATGGTTTTGGCAACATGCAGAGTTCCATACCACTGAAATGGGCCATCTCCGTGTGCTGGCTTTTAGCCCTAGGGCTCCAGCTTGCATTCGGATTCATCTGAGTGCGGGGCTCTCCCGAATCCCCTGGTTTCCAGGAGCGGAGCGTGCAGCTCCCAGCCATCTCCCACCTCTCCGGGAGGCACTGGCCGCGGGGCG